TTGTGTGTCATTTGCCCCAAAGGAGTGTCAAAAAAAGGGGGCTTCTTGTGAAAAAAAGGACAAGGGACTTTTGGGAAAGACAAGGCATGCCGCAAAAAGGGCAGACCATGGGGAATTTTGGGCAATTTCTTCCTAAAAAGGTCATACCTACTGTTTCAGATGTGCTTCGGTCTGTCCGTCTTCTTGCCATGAGACCCTAGACCAGTCTTCTGTGCAGATCTTCCTCCATGGCCGCCTCAACCGCCTCTACCGCCTCTACCGCCTCTGCCTTTGTTTCTTCTACCAGGCATCTTGCTCTGTAGTTCCTCCTACTTTGCAATGATCGACTGTCAGATAATCAACTCCGTAGCTGTAATGAGAGACTCAACGCTCTAGCTACCTCTGGAGTATACTGAGCTTGAATCTACGTTGGCTATGGATTGCCTACAATAGGAACAGGTGCCAGTGATGCTGGGCTTCAACCTGCGGATGAACAGTCTCACCACTTCCTATTAGATCTTATTCTACTGCTATTCTTGCCAGAAGTCGATCAACAATGATCTCCACAAGCAGGTACAAAAATCTCTTCCGGAAGCCATCTGTGTCAGCTCCCACCAGCTGTCGCGGCGCATAAAGCACATACGCACATGTTCTTCACAAACTAGTCACAATAAGATCCCATTTCACCAACAGCTGTTTTCTCCACAGTCGAGGAAGAAAAATCTATTTCTCCACTGTGGAGAAAAAATAATTCTATTTCTCCACCAGAAGCTAATATGGCAACAAAGGTTTCACATTGGCGATCATTCATCCATTGACAATTGCTGGGTATGCTGGCGGGCATGTTTTTGCAAGGTCTATTTTGGCAAATAGTATTGCAAGAACTTAACCGCTGGACGAGCATTCCAAGCGGGAATTGACTAGAGATCCCGCTCACAGAAGTAGCCCTGTCCAACTGTCCGGATATCACAAATTCCTGAAAATTACATCGTCTTGCTGCATTTTTCGAGCAATTTACCTTGTACGTCTCAAGCCAAGACTTGGTTGATTGCCAATAAAACATTGCAGATGAAGATCATGGGGGGTTGGACTGAATGGTACGGGGGATATTTTTGTGGGACTTCCAGAAACATGAGAAGCCACCAAAACGATGAGAAGCCATCAAAACAAGAAATAACTCACATTGCAAAGCAAGTAATTTTTATTTGGAACGAGTAATTTTTACTCAGAACAGGTAATTTTTATTCGGAACAAGTAATTTTTATTCGGAACGAGTAATTTCTATTTGGAACGAAGAAGTAATGAGTCACAACCTGAAAGCAGGTCTTCCATCATTATGTCAGCTGTACATCCAAATAAATTATTAATGACTAAAGATTTAAAAAGTATCTCTTTTGTTTTTAAACTATTTATGAATGACAAGATGTTCTTATATGAGAATGTCTTCTTCGTTAGTTAGTCATCTCACGAGAAGGAACCACAAGGAATTCTAAAGTCATTGATCTGCCGGGTGTTCCTGGGAAGCAAATCAAAAGTTCTTTGCTATGAAGCAAGGAACAACAATGGGAAGAAGCTCAATCTTAATCAGATTGGAGCAACTGTCCCAGCTACTGTTCCAGCTATAGCTCCTGGAGCTTCAGCATCCACAAGTGGAGCATCAAGTTTTGCGGGAAGCGTTAACACATCTTTGCAACTTGCTGGTACTACAGGTAATCAAATGATGCAAGATCTAAGGGTTACACTGGAGCCGCAAGTTCTTGAAGATCAAGGCCGTCAAGTCGCAACAATAATCCAGCTGATTGATGTGTGCCCACCACTTGTATCAGAATTGGCTGAATCGGAATCGGAAAAGGGAGGCTTCCTCCTTCAATTTCAAACCGAGACGCTTTGGCCAAGCCAACCAAGCTGATTGTAGCATAAAATAAATTCAAAATACATTCCATGAGAAATCCAACTGAAAAACGCACCAATCATCATGTTGACTCTCCAATCTGCAAACCTCGTCCATGGCTTGCCAAAAAAACTTCATGAAATTTTTTTGAGTGCGGCTGCGCTCCGTTTGCGATTCTTGCCGCGCCCAAACGTAGCTATATAATCCATATTGAGTTCGTGGAGTAGTTGTCAATGTTAGGAGTTTTGATACGACTGCCGCAAAACACCAGGAAATGACTAGTCTGTCAGTCTCTTGGGCAGAAAAGTCGTAGAAAAAGTTGGAAAAAAGGTGGAAAAAGGTGGAAAAACTTAATTTTTGGGAGATGACTAAGTCGATTGCACACAAAAGTTGATGTTGCAAAAAGCATGCAACTATCGGAAAGAATGGAAGTCGAGGGCAATATAAACCACAACAACATGGAAGAGATAGAATGAACTTAGGCCAGCAGAAATAAAACTGTAAACACCATTTTAAAAATTTGCTATGTTCTCTTCTTTTTCTTTGGTAGAAAGAAACAGTCGGTCAGGGTTGATTGTTCTCCTGCATTGATCTCCGCAGTTGTCATTCGTTCATGAAGATTCTTCTTTCGTTTGTCGTGTTTGGCTTCAAGTCTCTTCTTTCTTTCCAGATATGTTTTGCCAGGTTCATATACCTTGATGGGATTTTCTTCTCCAAAGTGGTCCACCCAATACATGTAGATAAGCCGGGGCTCCTTCTGTCTCATCTGTTTTGTCACTGGGATGTAGGTCCGCTCATGCCTGGCAAAGAATACACCCCATTCCTTATCATTCAACTTCAACTTCTTGGGTTTCGTTGTCTTTTTCCTCTTTGGCATTTTGAAATTTATTTGTGTTAGATTCAAAAATTCAAAATGCCAAGAGACGAATTCAAAAAGTTTTAGTTACAACGGTCGTTTGGAAAAAGTCGAGACAAGCGTCAAAGATGTGGACAAGCGTCGGAAAAAGCGGACAAGCGTCGGAAAAGCGTCGGAAAAAGCGGACAAGCGTCGGGACAAGCGTCAAAAAAAGCGGACAAGCGTCAGGACAAGCGTCAAAAAAGCGGACAAGCGTCAAAAAATTCGGCACGGAACATGTAAAAAACGTGTAGAAAATCCAGTATGTACACACGTAACGTAAAGACCGACAAAATGCGTTATATATTATCTATACACGTAGAAAAAACAAAGTACAGACATACCGATTACTTAGGTCACCTCAACAAGAGGCGAGACTCCGCCTACCCATAGTCGTCTTACATGAGTGAACATGATATTGCCAAGCTGAATACTTTTGTGTGAGCTACATCGTGGACGCCAAAGAGAAATATGCCATTCGCCAATCCATTAAATAGGCCATTACTTGCTGACCAGACCTACAGTCCTCATTCTGAACATTACCTACCGGTCCTTGATGATCGATTTTTGGTGGGAATGTTGTAGTTGTCGGCACTGGTTCATTGTCGAATGGTGTTGTGGATCGTCATTTTTGAAACTCCATTCCAAATTGTCTGGAACTGCCCTAGCTTGTTCAGCTTGTCGATTCTAGCCTTAGCTCCTCTGTCAGCTTACTTCCATATACCTACCGGTCCTTGATCTTTGGTCGGAATGTCCTAGTTGTCGGCACTGGTTCATTGTCCAATGGTGTTGTGGATTGTCATTTTTGAAACTCCATCCCAAATCATCTGGAACTGCCCTAGCTTGTTCAGCTTGTCGATTCTAACATTAGCTCCTTTGTCCACTTACTTGCATATACCTACCGGCCCTTATTGTCTGATCTTTGGTCAAAATGTCCTAGTTGTTGGCACTGGTTCATTGTGGAATGGTGACCTTTATCGTCATTTTCAAAACTCCACTCCAAAATCGCCTGAAACTGCCCTAGATAGTTCAGCTTGTCAATTCCAACATTAGCTCCTTTGTCAACTTACTTGCATATACCTACCGGCCCTTATTGTCTGATCTTTGGTCAGAATGCCCTTCAAAACTCCGCTCCAAAATCGCCTTGAACTGCCCTAGGTAGTTCAGCTTGTCGATTCCAACATTAGCTCCATGGTCAACTGACTTGTATCTACCTACCGGTCCTTGATGTCTGATCTTTGGTGGAAATGTCCTAGTCACTGGTTCATTGTCGTGTAGCTGGTAATTGTTGAAGATGATGCTGATGAGAACTTCAAAGGCTGCCAGCGTGGAGAGAGTGGAATCAATAAAAGGAGTGGAAGAGTCATGGGTAACGTTGTATAGGCTTGGATGCTTCTAATAGACCAGCTTTGCTACTTATTTCATCTGTATACTGTAGTATCAGCAGACGGTATAGTGTTGACAATGATAAAGTCTGTATGGTACAGTAGCTGTCTCGGATGCCATTTTGGTTCGATTCTTATCCTACACAAAATTCCATGAGGTGCTCGGTATAATTTTCGCGCGAACACCCATTTTCCGTACGTCATCAGCTACGATTTTGACTTGTGTGATTACCAAAAAGAAACTCAAGAGGCCAGAAGCCAATCTCCTACCATACGACCTTGTTGTGAGTACATTTTCAGATAAATTTCCCTGCAGTATTATAATTAGATATCTAAACTAGACCTTTGTATACTTCAAATTGCGAATGTGGCTAGATTCAATCACAGGGAAGGCAATTCCACAAAGTCACTTTTTTACAGTAGGCAAAAGAGAAAAAATTAAGCTTGCCTAGAATCTCTTTACCAGTACAGCACTCCAAAACACCACCCCAAGTCAATACTAGGGGGGGGTTGGACAAGTTTGAACTTAGTGACATGGTGTGCTGGTAACCACTCGGCGACTGAGAAGGATTCCACACACAATCTTGGATGAACCTGGATTGATCCCCAAAGCAGTGTGAGTGCCATTCCATCGCTTGCACCTAGAAATCACCCATTCAACCCCCCCCCAATCTTATCATAGTTACCAATGGACGGCAAATATGCGTTAGAATGAAGAAGTTTGGTGAAATTTCGTCCACACCAATACCAAGTCACTTTTAGGACCGAAAATCAATGATTTCTGACCCCATGCTGGCTAGATAATTCTTGATCTAGGCCAAATCATTGCCTCGGTCCCGGAAAATCTAAACAATAGGTATCCAAGGGGCCCTCTGGTGTATTGTTGAATGTATGGTTGTCTCCCGGGCGGCCACACCGACCCTCCTGATGAAAGGTGAACCGACAGCACCAAACACTTGAATTCAAAAATCTCAGCAAATATTCGAAAGAAAAAGCCACCGAATGGATCTCTGAGTAGGTATGATCACTGCGAAGCTTTCCAGCACATGTTGCATATGAGGCCTTGGCCCTTTTGACCTTCTGCAGACCAGGTTGTGCAACCCAACAGAACATGTTGGACGAAATATGGTAGAATGTAGTGTAACTGAGGCGAAAAAAAGGGTGAATCGCTACTCCATTCATATTCCATCTATCAAATATGCTTGCAATAACATTTTCTTCAGCGTTTACTTCTCTGGGCGCCCCCACCGGCTTGTCCAAAAGGAGGGAAACAATTGCATCATTGCACCTTGATGAGCACCAAATCGTCAATTTTGGTAGAAGAGGTAACGCGAATGAATTTCCGTTTAGCTCTTGTCTCGTTGGATATGGTAGCTATGAGTCGGATTGAGTAGAAAGGTCTTGTTGACAATTCTTTTGCCAGTCCAAACAACCAACAGAACCAATCAAGGTGGATTGTTGTGTGAATTTTGCCCAAGAAATATTACTCAACATCACAGCCGCCGCTGCCGACATAGTAAAAGTATCAAACATGCTTGACACACCCTCTAATTCAACACTTTCCTTTCATGGGGCCCAGGCCGTGCCATCCATTGCGATGGACAAATTTGCAACTCAAATTGTCCTGTAGGAGCTCAGATACCGCCCCTCAAATAGTAGCACGGTCTGGTTTGCAATGGATACATTTGCAATAGAGTATAAGCCTTTGGGAACAATGGGGGCAGGCTTGGCACATAGTTTATCAGCAATTCCGACCTTTCCCTGAGCTGCATTACAATCCATATGGCTACTAGCTGTATCCTCATCACAAGATTCTTTGCCATCGCCAGAGGTGTAGGCCAAACTGTTCCCAATGGTTTGGTTGTCAACTTCATTTGCTGCACGACAAAAATTGCTTCTTTTTTCTCTCCGATGGCTTTGGTATTTTGCAAATGGTCTTCAACACCAACAGATGCACAATAGTCCTGCCACATTGGTAGTGCAACACGATCTATAGCAGCTTGGCGAAGGTTGTTTTTTGCTACTAGTCCACCCTTACCAATGGGAGGAGTAGGGGTTGATTTGCGAGAGCTTGCCAAGGATTCCTGGATTTCAATCGGTAGTAGAAGTTCATCCCTGTATGTCAGGTTGTTCATGACAGTCTCGGGATTAGAGGGAGGATTGCTGTTGGACCTCCGACCCTTTGGATTTTGGATATACCTTCTAACAACACAACGATTCTTAGACGTCAGGGCATAGGAGAGTACCATATACAACAGATTTGTTTCAGGATTTGCGGCTTGAGCTCTCAACCAGCCTATAAACTCAGCGGCAGAGGAGTTTGCACCAGCAACAGCTTTTGCGGCTATGTAGTCCGGTGCAGTTATCATTATAGTTCGATAGGCAGATTTTGAAATGTACCCCTGCTTAAGCTCAAGTAAGATTTTGCAAGATTGGGGGTTGGCAACTGCTGCCCTCTGCTGAGCCAGGAGCTGCTGTTTTTGTTCGTCAGTTAGATTGTTTGCCTTCAAAGGCAATGGACCGGGGGCTTTGGGGTGGTATTTGTGGATCTTCTCTCCCTTACATGCAAGGTAGATGAACTCTTTGTTCCTAGAGAATTTCAAAGATAGGCCACAGTTGCATAGACAGTTTCCAGTAGTGCCCTTGGCTGTTCGGGTAGCTCGGGGGTTGGTTTGTCCATTTACACGATTTCTTTTGCGATCATGATGGTGCGACTTATGGCAAAGGCCAAAACGAACACCTTGCGCATCATATTCATCCTTATTATTTTCTTTATCGGAATACTTGCGATTGCGAGCACCATCTTAGTGTGCCATTGTAGCTATCTACATTGAAATCGGTACCATACTTAATTGCAAGTTGCTGCAAGTGAAAAAGCAACTTCTTTCTACCTGCATTTGTAGGTGGCCAGTGATCTGGATTGAATTGTGCTCGTGTAAATTTGGGCCCATTTGTAATAAACGAGAAGAGGTCAACTGATTCATTGTCATCATAGTCACGGAGACCTATAAAGGGAAGCTCAGCTGTCCATTCTTGAGCGTCAGAAACTGATATTTGGACATCCTGTTGTAGTTCCTCTTGTGTGAGGTGAATAGTTGAAGAATATTCAGATGACATGGTAGTGTTGTACAAGGTGACAACAGGGTGAAGTCACTGACAGCGGCAAGGAAGCTGCCTTCTACTTGCTTAATTTCTGGTAGGGCTGATTTTCCGAGTTTGGCACAATATTGGAGGCAGGCAAGGCATGTTGCGAGTCAGCCGGTTGGTCGGAGTCGTCCTGTCAACAAGGACGAAAGGGGTGAAGGATCTATGACCGCTGGCGCGAGGTGTGCCGGCGATTTACTTGTAGCTCCACTCGGCTGGAATATCCCCCAGAGTGACGGATGAGGAGCAGACGCAGAGTGTCGGTGGGTAACAATCAAAAAACTATTTAATTCCTCTTGTTGGCACTTGCAACATAATAATCATTTCTCCCCTAGTTGATAGATCTTTCCACAACTCAGCTTTTCCTACAACTCTACAGGACCATGATTCTCTCCATTATTTCAACTATGTACTCCCTCTACTTTCATCGGGAGCCGTTGCTCCTCCAAAATCATCTTCATCAATTGAAATGTTGGCATATCCTTCCCTTATCTCTTCAAACAGCAATTGGGATAGGCCATCATCTTCATTCTTTTTTCGGAGCAAGCAGTCAAAACTATGATCCGCCCCAAGTGCAAGCTCTGCATGCGACACCATGACTTCCGACTCCTGCCCACCACCACAAGTTGAGCACAAAGCAAGATTGGTTGCTCCAAAGCGATCCTCCTTCGGTACCACAACTGTTACGGTAAAAATTTGGCCATGACCGAAACTATTTCCTGATTTTGTTTTTTTTCTAGTTTTTTTTCCCGATGTGTTGTCGAGGCCAATGAGCAACAGTAGACATACTCCAGTCTGAATGCCTGCGTCAGTAAACAATTTTTGCATTGCCTTGATTGCAGCTTTACGTTCATACGGCCAAAATTCCACTTTGTTTTTCACGCTCACCAACATGGGACAGTAATGCAGCGTCCCATTCACAGTGTATTGCACTGGTACCATTATGTCGTACGCTGCACATGCAAAATACATGTACGATCCTCTTCCACCAAGGTACCAATGCTTGAGAAGCCCACTATCCTGCATTTCTTTCAAACTATAGCGTAGGTAGTTCTGACAAACTTGGATGAAGTTGACACTTGCCTTTGCTTCCCCAAGGTTGAGGGTAGTGTTCAAATCAGCATGTTGCAATCTTGCAATCCATTTCTCTAATGGAACAGAAAGCTGAGTGAGATCTGTCGATTGCTCAAACCTCAACTCATCTCCGCAAGCCAGCATATAAAAGGCAGCTGCAACCTCGCCAACATCTCCCTTTGCAGGACGACACAATGCAGAGGAGAATATTTTGATGGCCTTCTCCGACCAAACCGAAGCAGGTTCACTGCACTCTGTGGGAATCCCATCATCAATCCCAAATCGATTACAGCCCTCAATCATCTGGGTCATTGCAAGCCATGCGCAAACCGGATCAGGAAGAAATGCAATCCCGGCTACTGCGGTTTGGTCTGGCGAAAAGTGAGTCAGATGTGCGTATCCGGAAGCCACTAGTTCTGATGCAAAATCAAACGACACTTGACCCATTTGCAGTCGCGTTGCCAAAAGCGAATAATACTTCTGCAGTGACAGCTCCTGGTCCGCACCCCTCATTCGCAGCAAGATATTGCCAAGTGAAGTCTTCAACTGTCCTTTCAGATACAATCGTCCGAATAAGGGCCGTCCATATTGGATGGCCACATCAAGTTCTGTAATTGTCTCGTTTTTTTTTTGCAAAGAGGTTTTATGAGTACCACCTACTGTTCCAAATTTGAATCCATCAGTGCGTGACACAAGACCTGTCGTCGTAAGTTGATAAAAGGGAGGATACAGCTTATCACCACCAAGGTACACGACGTTTGCATCCCGGGAAGTAGTTGATGGTTTTGGTTCCGCATAGTAGTTTGCCAATCTGGTAGTGGTCCCGGCGAACACGCAAACCACGTTTACATTGCCTGGTTTGTTCGGCCATCGGAGCCACCATCGTACCGATCGGAAATGCCACCCATCACTGTTGCTCGTCAGGTGCTGGGATTCATCAAAGAGCAATACAACCTTCTTCTTTTCTGTATCGGCAAACCTGTTTAATCGATTCCAAAGCTTCGTTAGACCATTTTGATCCGATTGGATTTCCCTTATATCCAAAATCTGGGAAAATATGCTTTCGGCTGATGCAATTTTGGCCTCATTTCCATCCGTACAAAGAATGAGTTCCACATGGACGTCTGCTTTGTCCATCGTCATTAAGTTTTTATATTCGTGCATCAACTTGGTCTTGCCGGTTCCACTGGATTGTATTAGTGGAAAGTAAGGAGCCATATACTCTTTTGAATGGATATTCTTCCACTCAAAGAGTTTGTCCAGCCGAGCCGCGAATGCCTTCAAGTCTCGTTTGTACACCATCTTGCTATCTCTGATGTCGTAGTCAATGTCTGTCACACGCTGTGATGCAGCTGCTGCGGTCTTAGAGATGGACGGTCTACTTTCCCCTGTCTTCAAGAAATGAGCCAAGTCGATCGTAAGACGCATTTGAGTCGGTTTGAAATAATCTTCGTCTACTTTCAAAGCCTCAATTAATTGAGATTTAGAGGTCTTCTTCTCAATATCAGTTACATCATCCTTGAACCATTCGTCTTCATTTGCCATGTAGTCTCCAAGTGTTTTTTCATCATCTGGTGGTACAATGTCGGTTGTCTCTTGGCTGTTCCGACTGCTTTTAGTGCCTCCCGTGTCATCGTCATCCTTTGGATCAGTGCGTTGGATTGGTTTCCTGTTGCCTTTGTAGTTCTTGTTTGAGTCATCATTTTGTAGCTTACCGAGGCCGTCTTTGGCATTGCTATCATCCTCATTCTTAGCATTCTGAGGAGCTGCCATGTGCCGTTGCATGACAACATTGCCTTTGCCGTTTTTGCATTTGGAGAAACGTGAAAAAGGTGAATCATCGGATGAGATTATTCTCAAACCACGCCGCGACGTCCAACAATAACGCTGATGATGATGATGATGATGCTGCTTATTTTGACAGCTGCTGCCAATGGTGAAACCGTTTACTACATCTTTTGATATGAGCAAGAGAGCTATTACTCCTTTGAAGACGAGACAGCGCTGAGTCATATATGATACTGGCGATATGATGATCTATTTCAGCAATAACACACGAAGGATCGAAAAGACGACGCGTGCGAATGCTTTTGAAACAGCGCGTCAATTCAACTTTTCCGTTATTGTTCTGTATCTTTAGGGGGGGGGGGGGCGACTGCAAAGCCGAAATGAAAAGGGGGCAATGTAGGAGAATCCCGCTGCTCCACTTTTTTACCGTACGAGTACCTACTACAGTAAGGGTACCCTGTTAAGAGGTTTTTTTTTAAGAGAAACACCCCTTAAGAGACAAATTTGACGAGACACAAATTGCACGGTCAGTCTGTCACCCATACCATTTCAAGCGCATATGTCTGTTCTTCGTCTGCAAAGAATTATTACAGCAGAGTGGCAAGAAGGATATCACAGTTGAGGCTATTCTTGCTCCAAAAGGTGGTTCCACCAATGATCCAGATGATTTGGACGCTGAGGAGGAGGTGTTATGTTGCCCTTTGGAACTAGATGCTTCAATGCTAACAGCAGACTCGAAAGACTGCTTAGTAGGAAGCATGGAATTTATAAAGCGGCCAGCACAGCACCAGATCTAAAATGTACCTTAAAGATTATGGTAGTTTTCTTATCAAATGTGGTTCAATTGTTACCTGAAACTTCAAATTTCGAAAAGTGGCTCTAACCACATTGGCATCGCAAGAAACACCCATTAGATATTGACACATAAAAGCATTCAAGGGGGGGCTTTCGTCAGGGGAGAACTTGTGCCATGCCTTGAAGGCTTGATAAATATATTCAGCTTCCTCTTGTTTCTCTTTTTTGTCATGAAACCATTCATTCACTTCAGCTTTGGTAGGTCCAACAAATGCAATATTGTTTGCCATGGGCATGGTTTGCTGAGCATCTTCTTCTTGTTTCCGGTGGAATGCAGCCATCCTCTTGGCATGCTTGGAATTTTTGACAACCACATTAACCTTGATAGGAACGTTTTGTTGTTTGGCTGCAAGTATCTTTGCCATTTCTGTGACAAACATGTGGCTCTTGACTGCAGCTTGCCTACCAACTAGAATCTTTGTCACCTTCTTGTTGTCCTTTTTTATAATCACACGACTCGCACGATGGGCTTTGATGGTAGCTGGCATATTGTGGAAACATTTCAACATTATGAGCTCCACCCCACATCACGATTGTATTGTTGGCGTTTGTTGTTTTGTCACTTGGCAAGATACGGTGTAGCCGCTTGCAAAATCAACGGATGATGCGGGATCTGTGTAAGCAATTGCAAACTTTGGGTGGTCTCGCCATGCTGTCTGATTGATGTCACTCTGCAACATCTGGGAATCGATTGTCCAATCACCAATGACCCAAGCCTGCATAAAATATAATACTGTAATTGTTATCACATCGAGAAGCATCATGCTATTCCCACACATGTCAACCGATCTTTGTGGCAGACTTGCACGGGATCTTTTTGCTAATCCCAATGCCAATAAGAACAAAACAGATGCTCGTCTCAACAAAGAAATCTGTGAGTCTCTGATTGGCACCACATACAAAGTGGCTGCCAAGCTTTGGAACATGATCAGTCCACTGGAAAACGACCAGATTCCACAAGGAGCCCATCCCAATCACCTCTTTTGGACCCTTTGCTTTTTGAAGAACTACTGTACCGAACCGGTATGATTCGGATTGACCCAAAAACATTTTGAAAATGGGTATGGATCTTTGTTCCAGAAATCGCAAGACTCTTTGACAACATGGTAAGAAGAAGCCTATGTGATGTTGTGACTGCATTTGTAACTGTGTCTTCCTAAGCTTTATCTTGCATGTATTTAGATTGTTTGGCGGCAATTGTATGCACTACCTAGCATTTAATCAATTAATGTTTCAGTTATTATTATTATTATTAGATTGTTTGGCTGAAACGGTTTGATGGCTGGGATGGAAAGACGCACTGTGTCATCTCTGTTGACAGTGTTGACTGTCGTATCCAAGAGATTTGGCGGTTTGATGAAGCAATCTTCTCCAAGAAGTTGAATGGACCAGGCTATAAGTATGAAATCGGTATCTGTATTGCAAAAAGAGCTATAGTCTGGGTGAATGGTCCTTTCAAGGCAGGCCGTAATGACAAGACAATTTTTGAACATGATGGTCTCATGCAAGCATTGTGTGAGGATGAGGGCATGGAGGTGGATATGGGATATCAAGGCCTCGACCAGTTAAAAAACCCAAAGATTTCACAGAGTAAAAAGGACGGCATGCAAAAGAGTAAGGCAAAAGCCTGACACAAAAATGTGAATGGAGAGCTGAAGAAATTTGCAGGTCTTGATCAAGTCTTTTGCCACAATCCCAAGACAAAACATCAAGCCTGCTTTGAAGCTGTTGCTGTCATCTGCCAGATGCGGCACAACTTTGGAGGACATCAAAATTCTTGCAAATATGATATGACTTACAATTAAATTCTATTCAACTTATTGATGTGCAATGCTGATGGGGAGCACTCATCATCGGAATACACCTCCAACAATCATAAATCACATACAAATACTTTTCTAAAGACAATTTATTCCAACTATGTATCCATCAAACCACTGTATAGTAGTGTCAATTTCATTTTCAAAGGTATTGACCAGCTGAATACAGTGTTTGTCATTCACAATGGGCAGCAACCTGTCCTCCCATTTGTCACTGTCAACAGATATTTTGTTTTTGTCACTTACTCAAGTCGTTTGCTGAACGGTGTGATCTTAGATATTATCTGGGACGGCAGGTAACATGGTCTGTGAGGCATCAGAGAACATGCTTTTGTCATCATTGTCTCCACCAGACACAACGGTTTGCCTGGCTCTTTTAGACCTACTGGAGACTGAGCGTTGGGCCGGATTGTCAGCAAGTCTTTTCTGATCAGGACGTGAAGCTGGCTTCTTAGCAACAGCGGTACTCAAAGCATCAACTCGGATCTGCTGCTTTTGATGAAAAGAGTTAATCATGTGCTCCTGTTCTTGCTTTTGTTGTGCCTGCTGACAAAGCAATTCTTCTTCCTGATCATGCCATTCTTTCTTCTGTTGCTCCTGCTGACAACGCAGTTCTTCCTGCTGAAGAAGCGATTCTTCCTGCTGACGACGCAATTCATTCTGCTGCTGGATAGCATAAAGGGCTGCTTGTCTTGATTCTTCCGTTGCTTGATCCGATGCTTCCTGCCAAAGACGCAATGCTTCCGCTTGTTGCCTCTGTTGTTCCTGAAGACGACGCAAACTCTCCTCCTTTTGGTGCTGTCGTGCAAGCGATTCCTGGAGCTGCTTGACCGTATCTTGTAATGCAGTCAAGTCCGCCAATGGGTTCTTGTTGGTTGCAACAATCGGCTGTTGAACGCAGGTGTTGGTAGCAGGATGGGGCTGTTTGGCTGCTGAATGAAAGCGTTGGCACTATTATTTGCAGGAGGCTGAGTATTGTTGTTAAAGGCACCGTTTGGCTGCTGAACGAAGGCGCTGGCGCTGGTTGCAGGGGGCTGAACATTGTTGTTGAAAGCACCATTTGACTGCTGAACAAAGGCGTTGGCGCTATGATTTGCAGGGGGCTGAGTATTGTTGTTGAAGGCACCATTTGACTGCTGAACGAAGGCGTTGGCGCTATGATTTGCAGGGGGCTGAGCAGTGTTGTTGAAGGCACCGTTTTGCTGTTGGACGAAGGTGTTGCTGAAGTTGCTGGTGGTCTCCGTCCTGGCTGTGTGAGCATTGTTGGTGGCACTGTTTGGCTGTTGAGCGGAGCAGTTGGCGTTATGTGTAGGGGGCTGAGCATTTTGAAGGAACGAATTTTGTTGGCTGAAGTTGGCGTTGATATTGGAGCCGCCGTTTGATTGTTGTTGGTCAGCTCGATTCGATGCCCAGTTCGAATTCTCGTGATAACTGTTGGAGTTGACAGGCGCGTAATTTGAATATGGCCATGCATTTGTAGGAGTGTGGTCTGGATCAAAGTTCCAAGCCATACAATTTACCTTTACAGTTTCAAGTTCTTCCTCCACTTCAATGAATTGTTTGGTTATGATGTGTAGCTCCTTGTATTTGCAGTCTTCTCCATTGCTATCCTTGGCTATTCCAGGCTACAGGTAGAAACCGGGTTGCTCGCCATCAAGAGAGAACCATTCCATTTGATCTTGCTCTTCATCAAACTCAGTAATGATCTTGCTCAAATGCTTTGGCAATCAAATTTTGCTCTTGTGGCATAATCGGCATCCCCTTGCTGTTCACAAGCGCAAACAAGGTATAATGGGGATTCCAAAAGTATCTTGGATCGAGGATTTCAACCAAGAGTTGCTTGTCATTGAGCCAAACTTTCTTGATGTCAGATTCTGTCACCATGTTGGTTAAATGGAACCGATGGAAAGTGACAGACACAGCTGAAACTCCCACTTTGCCTGGAACGTACTTTCTGATCTATGGCGCCCTGCAAACACATCTCTGGAAACTTCGGCGTTTTGCTGTGAAGAGATTTCTTGAGTTGCCTTGAGTTTTTGTCGTTATGGCCTGTCATACTAGCAAGGATACTAGCCTGGATTTCTTACGAGCTCTGAAACAGTTTTGTCCATTTTGTCCATTGAAGAAGAATAGTCGGGCATCTTTGTCCATGGACGAAAAATAGTCCATGGACGAAAAATAGTTAAACACTTTGTCCAGGGACAGTTCGGAAGCAAATCAAAAGCGCATGCCTGCTGAGTAGTTTTGAGAATAGAAGCGTGCCAGCTAGCCAAACTGGGCGGAAAAATAAGGACTTTGCTATTTCATGTTTTTTCGTCAAAAAGCTGACTAGGCACGGCTTTGTCCAGTTACAGGCCGCTCCGGTTGTTCCTGCCACACCATTTTGGGTTGGGAATTTGCAGATCCAGTTCTCTTTTCTGCAAAGTGGCCCGTCCTCTTTTCCCTGGGCAGCTTTGCTTACTACTTTTCGGGTGTGCACATGAAAACTGAGATGTACGGTGGGGTTTTGTGTTCGGGTGTCAGAAATTAAGGTATTTATTTAGTAAACATTTGCCTGTAGCTCCGTGTCGCACCATGTGGCAGCTGACCACATAAATTCATCGTTGTTTTTCGGCCGACTCAATCGACCGTCAGTTCGACTCAGTCGACTTTCGTTTCTTCTGTTTTAGCCTCTACGGTTTACGGCACTTTTTTATCATTATGGTGACGTGGAAATTTTTCTTGTGGTCTGTGCGCTCTTCACCTTCTGTCCCCCCAGTCGTGTACGATGGTCATTGGTCATGCCAAATTTCACAAACTCAAGTTGAAAGTCGCCGTTGCCGTTTGAGTTTGTGTAGGAAAAAGCTAGTATTGCATTGTATTAACGATGTCTGTGGAATCAGTGAATTCCGAGATAGTTGAATTAAATGTCGAGTTGAAAGTGTGTTTGAAAGCCCTGAACAATTATGACAAGGATGAGTTCTTCATCGACCACCCAGTCTATCAACATTTGGATGCAACGGATCATGGCGCACGTTTGGAATTCTTGAGGAAAGAAAAGGAACAAAAGGAGGAAGACTTGAGGAAAGCAAACAAGTTCATGAGGGCAAGTGATCTCTATCTATTGAAAGCTGTACCCCCTTCAACTCGTCCACCGCGTTCCCCAATTCTATCAAGAAAACCGTCCAAGGTGCCTCCATCGACAGGAAAAGACAGGCCCAATGCAACCACACCAAAGGATAGTCCATCCTCGAATGAAGGGAAAATCGAAGGTCTGAAGCATGCGTCCGATGACAAAAACACGACTATGCAGTCATCCCTGTTGTGTGGAGCTCATGAAATTGTTGTACGCAACTATTGAGGATTGGAACAATAAGACAGCATCCTCAGACGCCCAGGATGACAAGTTCGCAATTGCTTCAAAGATTGTCATCGCAAATAAAAATCACATAGGTAAAAAGGACGCGGACACTCTCTCAAGTGAAAGGTTCTTTACAGGGCTCTTTGCGAATGCAATGAACGCAGTACTAGATGAGGGTTTCACAACTCTCCATCAGGCTTGCATTGGTTCCGGCGCAACCCATTCTGACCTTTCCGTTTGCCGTTTCAAGTCCAAGCCCAAATGGCCGATCACACTTTTGGTAGGTGAGGGGAAGAAAACGGCAGAAGACCTCCGCAAAGACACACGAGGGCAACTGTTCAATGAGCTTTTGCGTCATCGGTCCATTGAATACAGTTTGAACAAAGATCCACATTATTACAGACCTATCCTTCTTCTTGCCTTTGACATGAGTACGATTCCCATCCAAAAGAGGCGGGCAGCTTGAACGTGATACTGCCGTCTTTTTCCACAAAGAAATTGTAAAGGAAACGGAAACATTTTGGACAGTACAATTGCTCAGGACAAAGATCTCTTCTCGAAACTATGCTAAATCGAATCTTGCAATCGTCTTGCAATTTCTTTCTTCTGCATTAAAACGGCTTGATTCATGGCAATCAGAGGGCTTTTCCCGTGTTCACTTCAAGCTTCCAATGCCACTGTCCCTCAATGACAAGATTGAGCATGCTATATACTACAATGAAAATGTTTCAAAGGTGACGCTAATAGATGGAAGAGTGCTCTTGTTCAAAGAGTATTGCTACAACCTTTGCCAAGATGACCTTACTGGCAATCGACTCCTTGAGCCAATTATTGACCAAATCTCAAAAGAGGACCAAATAGTACCACCGCCAGACGAACTACTACAATGCTTGGAGAGCCATGCAGTAGTGACTGGAAGGTTTATATCGAGCCTTTTGGCTGTGTGCTGCAGTATCCCTTTATCAATTGCAGTTCAAGCAGTCCAAACGTTCTTGGTTGGATACAGATTCTCTGTCAAGTTGCCAAGATGCACACGGCCGGATATGTTCACGGAGACTTGCTTCCTCGAAACGTCCTGTTTGGCAAGAAGAATAGTGGCTTTTTGATAGACTTTGACCTTTTGAGAAAGGAAAACAAGCCATACGTCAGAGGTTTCAATTTTGCTGATTTTGAAGACTTTCGTCATCCCGATGCAAAGCCTTGCAAACAGATGAAAAAGATCCATGACGTTCATTCACTTTACCAAATCAGCCATTACTTTTTTGATTTAAGCAAAAAGCCAATACAAGAGGGGATCACCTTGAAAGGTCTCATTGCGCATTTTAAAGCCAATGAGAAGCTTCCAGTGAATGCCGTAGAGGAGAGCAAGGACTCAAGTGGCAGTCCAAACAGGTAGACTTTTTACTATTTGGAGTCCCACGGTCATTGTTTTTATCCATTTCTTTTGCCTCCAACAAAAGCCGCTGAAAATGCAAATGGACTAGCTTGTTGGCAAAAAATATGACTGACAATATCGTAGGAAATATTTGTATTACACTGGTCTAGAAGTCGTGTCCATCACAATTATCTATATCTACAACTGGATAGAAGTCACTGTTGGTTGTTTCTCATGATGAATATTCCTTTCAAGGGCTCAAAAAATAGCATAGATGGTGCACAAGATGACCATGGAATTCTTGTGCAGCGTACTTAGTCTTCTCATGCATCATCATTCAGAGATTTGCAAATCGCCAATATGGAAAAAGAATGGGCAATGGAGGAGTTCTTGGAAGATAAAGAAAAAGCCTTCAACAATCATGAGCCCAACCTTCCACAAAGCACCAGAAATGACACAATCAAAGATCAGTGCAACAAGAGATGAGATAGATGCATGCCTTTGTCTATGTATTTCCCTTCCACTTCATAGTAAATCTTCAGTACTGAAACATGTCAAAATCTACTGGCAACAAGAAGGGTGCTTTGGGACAAAAGAAAAAACAAAATGGGACTTGCTTCAAAGCAGAGAGGACCTGGTGTTCAAGCTTGCAAGCAAAAGGGACAAGAAAAATATTCAAAATGCAGTACGAGGCTTTGTCATGGTGTGCCCTCATCACAGAAGAAAATGAATGGGGGTTTGGTGGAAGATCCAAACAAGAGGATATGTGAAGCTTGCATGCAGACGCAACAAAATCCATGATGAAAAAAACATGGCCATGATCTGTGGTGCAAAAAAAGCATTCACCCCAAGCAAACAAATGGAGGTCAAATTGACTGGTTGACGCTTCTTCAGAATGAACACGACAAAGAACCGCTATGCCGTGAAGAACTTCACTTGTCAACAATCAAGAAAACTCAAGCTGATGTTAACAGCTTCCTTGAACCAAGGTGCCAAGGAGTACTAGGGCAACATCAATGATTGAGACAAACCAAGAAGCAACAAGAAGATGAGGCATACATTGTCTGTTTCCAAGAGCTCCTTTCCCTTCAAAGCTTTGAATATATTTACTGAGACTGGAAATCCCAGCCCCTTAAGATATGTCATATATCCCTGGCAATTCATTGAGCTATCTTCTTCTTCCTCGCCCCATTGGTAAGTCGTGTCACACTGAGGACAAAGTGGCCTGTTCTGCCATGGTGCTGCAATTTGCTCTATGTCCAAGCTTGTCATGACCTCATTAAATACTGTGGAATTCACGTTTGAGAACGCAACTGTGTTATCTTTGTCTTGAAAAGTTGCCAGTTCTTGTCTCAGTATAGTGCAGAGAGCTTGTACCGCCAATTGGAAATTGAAAATGTAATGATGCAGAACATTGCAGTAGATGCATTATGTGGGTAAGGACAATATTGACGGAGGGAAGAGACATGAAATGAAGTGTAGTGAAACAATTATCATGCTTACCTTGTGCCATCCTTGTCATATCTAATGCACCAATAGTAATAACAATAACTGAAACATTAATCGTTAATATGCTACTCTGTGGGTATTTGATTGCGGATGAAATATTTGGCTGTAAAGGTCAAGTACTGTGAAGCGGTGAGTCAACAATAAGTTTGAACCATGTGAGGCATCTCTATCATCAACAGAATTGCTCAAGTCTACCAAAAGAATAAGGACTTCTCATGCAACGTGGCGGGGTGAATTCGGGGCTCATAAGGTCCCGCAAAAGTTGGTCAGGGTCCTGGGGTTAAAATTGTATTGTTGTGCTTTCATGGAGCGACGGAAGTCTCTGCGCTCCTTACAAAGCAGCTTCAGCCACTCTTCCTTGTCCATCAATGACTTGCAAAGAACTTGTTGACGCCTGGTTAGCATCGGTCAAATTTCTCTAGGCAAGTCTTTGGGACCCATATTAATCTGTGAGTGAATCCCCTCATTGATAGTGCTACGACATTCATGTAGTTGAATGTTGTCATCCAAATGTTGAACAGAGTTCCGTTGCTCCCACATGTAGAATGTTGTAAGTGGCAGGACTCCCAGAGAGAGAGAGATGAACAACATCTGATCTTTTCATATTGTTGTTGTTGGAGCGGTAGCCATGACAAGGCTATGCGTCCCTCCAAAAGGCCTTGATACCCAATCACCTGTTGAGCCAAGAAGGCAGGCCGTAAAGATGGGGAAGAAGGTGCACAGATGGCATTACATGTTTGACGGAAGGGCCCGTCAATTGCAGATCCAGCCACACGGAGAAGGCTGCAATGCAACAATCCCATTCTGCAGTTGTTGAAGTAGCGCGGCAACGGGGAACATGGAGATGGTCCTCAAAATCGCCACAGCGAGGACAAGCTACTGATGTCTCCAAACCCCATAAAACAAAGGCCATAAAACTTTAAATTTACCTATACCACACATACCCACGCAGTATTTAGTAGACCACCTTGTTTGAAGTCCTGCAGGAAGAGATTGCATGGCGCGACCCATTGTGTCCCAGGCAATATCAAACTTGGCTTTGGCGGAGATAGCTTTGTCCCTCCAGCACAAGCAAAGAGCGGGCAGGGTCACGCACTATTGGATAAACTGAGGATCAAGATGTGACTGTTTGGTGTCTGCCAGGTAAAGCGCCGCAAGTTCAGTGAAGAATTGAGGACTGGGGGCTATGAGATGATAAGCCACCTCAAGTTCTTTACAATACTCCACCGCCATTTCATCAACTTTCAGATTTCTTTTCTCCCACCAAGACAATCTGTCAAATAGACTGGACTTGTTGAGATGGTCGTACACGTGCTGGGGAGACCAATCCACCGTCTACCAAAGGATAGCTTCCCAAATGGATGACACCAAGTCAAACTGAGCGTCAGTGGGAGAAAGTGGGCGAGATGGCGGAGAGACCGTCACAAGACTCTGTGGTTAGAGCTAGGATGGCAGTATTGATGGTATATTGGTTGTAGGTGATGTTTTATCCACATGGCTTCGGTTGACCCAATACAATGGCTTTGGTTGACCCAATACAATTTCTCGTTGATACAATCGCTTCTTTTCTTTTTTTCATATTTGTGATGCAACGCGGCAGTCATTGCGGCAAACGCTGCATTCTTCATATTGACAGGACTTGCTGATATCATAGCAAACATGTTGCGCTGGAAATGATCAGGGTTGAACTGTCCTTCCCATGTGTAGGCTGATTGTGTGAACAAACTTGGTGGCTCTGACTGCAAATCAAAAGCATTTCCACTTAAGGTGCTATTGTTGTGCTCCTGACTCTCAGCTTAGAGAGAGCATGCTAGTGCATTGATTTAGCTACTGTTGGACATGATAGACGGTGATTGATATTGCTATTGGGGTGTATTTACGGGGGTCTGAAGCAGCTGTGAGTAGATGATGGATGATTGATCTTGGGCTGAATATTTGGAAATGACTGTTGGCCTTCGATTGCTCTAATGATACATCTGCTCGGGACTTGGCAGTCCAGTCAGTCATGTTATGCATATGACACATCTGAGACAGTAGCCTTGTGCTTTTGGGGGTTATGGAACTTGTCATAGATTGTCTGTTCCACATGGAAAAAAGGACAAGGATATTGTGTTTTTTATCATCTTTCCATGTGGAGGAGATTATGTGTTACATGAGAACCCCTTGTCTTTTTCATGACAAGGAAACTGTCTTTTTGAGGAGAAGAAAATTCTCATTCTTGGAATGTTCCCAATTGATTCTGTCACAGAACCATCTGGCCGTGATATCCATCAGATGCATATTCAATTTTTCATTCACAAGTTTTAAATCGAAAGCAGTTGAAACCACAGTTCTTTAACCTCTGACCTGCCTCCTGTTCTGCAGTAGTGCCACTGTCCCTCCCCTTTATCACCTGGTAATCCATCACCTTGGGTGATTGTCATCAAAAGTATTTTTGATTGCTGGATCCAAGTTGGACGCATTCTTTCCATTAGTAGTAGTACTCCTGTGACTTGAAGATTGGCATCCAACCCTCTTGCCTCGCTTTGTTGTGGTCATACTGATAGAGGACAAGGATGAGACAAATACACAAAACATTATATGAAATATGTTCTTTGTGGATGACTCTGCTGCTGGTCCTGGCCAAGGTGAAGAGCACCTGCACCAAGAAAGCAAGATGATGTTAGAAAGTAAAAAGCAGAATGTACATATCAATGTAGTTGGAGAGTGACTTACAATTTGCAGCTTTGCAGCTGTCAGGAGCTGTAAAGCATCACGTCATATTGTCAGTGCCCACTGGCGCAAAATGTGAATTTTTGGCCAACCCACCCCTAATAAGAAAAATAACAAAAGACAAGACAGTGTTAGACACACCATGGGGTGTGAGCTGTTTGCTACATTGCAGATGCAGAATTGACTTGTCATTTACACAGCTGTGTAAGAATCATTTGTCGACAGGAGGGTGCTTCTTGTTTTGCTGGTTGTTGTTTTATGTTTGGAAGCAAAACAAAATCCTGGAGGCAAAACTTCTACAGGACTATGGTAGTCATACTAGTATACAGGGTAGGGTCTGCAACTGGTGGGACAAGCAGACAAAACAACGTGCCGTAAAGGCTACAGAAGAAACAGAAGTCAACTGAGTCAAACATACCGTTGATTGAGTCTGCCAAAAAAGGAACATGAATATATGTTGTCAACTGCAACATGGTACGACGCAGAGCTACACAAAAATATACTAAATAAATAGCTTAATTGTTCACACCCAAACACCAAACCCCATCGTACATCTCAGTTTTCATGTGCACACACAAAAATTAGTAAGCAAAGTTTCCCTGGGAAAAGAAGACAGGCCACTTTGCAGACCATGTAAGTAGATAATTGTACCTTCATACATGACATTGGACTGGCATGCGTGCCTTTTGTAGACTTTAGTACATAAAGTACCAGTAGTTTTGAGTCCAACAAGCTGGTTTGCCAAGCTTGAAGGATGGATGGGCTGGTGGTAGGGGCTGTTTCAAAGGGACAACCGTGACAACAATGCTGTCAGACCCAGTGATGGGACGGACAGTAGCGCAAAGAACATCGTTGGGGAGAGGGTGGAGGAAGGTGAAGGCAATGGTGCAAAGCAACATGACAGGTTGCCCCAAGGCGGTGGAAGAGGCCTGTAGTGGGTGACAGCAATCAATTTCAATTCTCCAGAGAATCAGTCCAGTGACTCAATGGCTGTTGGATTGGGTGATGTGGCCAATTGCAGGCAAGCAGGGCTTGGGATAAAGTGGTCTGCCACAAGTCCCAGTGTTGGCAGGATGGGCGAATGGTCCGTGGCCATTGGTATGGCAAGCAACAGCACTCATCACTGATTCCATTCCAAGCGGCACAATGAATAAACCTGCCATCAGCAGTGACAATGTTGGACACTGTGCATACCTGAAGGAAGATTCGGCACCAATTGAGCCAGAGGAGATCATCTTGGTCAACCTCTAGGTTGAGGAAGAGATCCACCAGCAGAGAATTGTCCTTAGAGCAATGTGATAAGGCTGGGGAGTACCAAGCGACATAGATGTCCAGACCCTCAAGTTCATGCCACACTGTTTCATCCACAGGTCGGAAGCTAAGATGGCCGTGTTGTTGTAGACTTGTTGCAAGATTGCAAAGGATGTCCCCGTTTCTAGTTGATGGGCTTGGAAGTTGGCCTCCATGTAGTCACCAGTCTTGCTCCTGTTGGCCATATGTTGGAGCAACATCTTGAGATGTTTAAACACTTGACAACCAAACGGATGTGGGAGTCCAAGACCCTGATAGGACAGTGGAGCAAACAAGACAGACTCCGGCCTTTTGGCAGGCACACCTGAAGTACTGGAGACATAATGTCTGTCCATTGCTGTGCATCAAAGGTGGTTAGTACCATGGGATATTCCAATTTCTTCATGATGGTCAACCTGATGAGGGGGAGGACGTCATATTTGTGAAGAAGGTTGGGCCAAAGCTGTTCTGCCCAATCCTTGGCTTTAGCTAGCAGCTGATCCTCATCAGCCTTAAGGTTTTCCAAAGGGGCAAGCATCACCCCCAGAGTGCGTTCAGAGTCGTCTGGTTTGAGGCAACGCAGGGATTTGGCAGCACCTGATAGACCTTGGATTTGGAGGTCAAAGTCTGGGGCAACTGCTTTTTTACCACAAAATTTCCATGTACCTATGCGTGAGTCCCAATCAAAATGAATGAGCCACCAGAAAGACTTCTTGGGGTTGGTCGCGCCTCCAGTAGCTCGGATTCCCCCACCCCACAGGGTAGCGGTGTCCTGCACGAATGCACATATGGCTTCACCCAAGTGATGGACTGTATTTCCAGCCTCAATGACGTGGGCGTTGTTGACAAAGCAGAAGCATTGGGATGTGACCAATTGTGACTCCAGTGCTGACAGGCACTCAAAGCCATAACCCATTGCTTCCGTCATGGTAATGAGAACGGAGCTCACAGAGATCCATATAGGAGGTCCTGCCCCGTTACCCTGTCCACAGCCTTGGGAGGGGATAACAGAAGGCGGCTTGAAGCTACGTTCTTAATTGGCAAAACCTGGCCGGACCCAATGCGTTGCTGACAAGAGCATGTTGAACATGGAGGATAGGACCCTTCATGTCAGCCCAAACCGGAGCATTATAATGATTGCCACCCAATGAACAACATGATCAAAGCAGGATTTGGCATCATTAGAGATCCACCTGGTCGTGCTTCATTGGAGAATCAACAAGTCCCAGACCAGACGTTTGGACAGGGCCAGATCGATTGCCTGGTGGCGTTTCCGAGAACCGCATTGACTCTCCGGAATCGAGGAGTGTTCCTTGGAATATCGCATGGCCGCGCCACCCGCTTAATTGTTGTTTACCTGTGCCTCCAAGTTCATTAACTGAATAGTGCGCATTTTTGACAGCCAGAAGTCGCCTGCCTTTTTCTCAATTGCAAAATTTATCAGGTTCTGCCAATTTGTGGGGACGAATCCTGTTGCCAAAGGAAATATTGCGAAAAAGGGCATCGCAAGAGGCAACAACTGGTGACTGGGAGGATAGGACTCTCCATGTCAGCCCAAACCTGAGCATTGCAATGATTGCCACCAAGTGAACAGCACGATCAAAGAAGGATTTGGCGTCATTAGAGATCCACCCAGCCGCCATCGTTGGAGCATCAAGAGGTCCCATACCAGACGCTTACACAGAGCCAGGGCAATAGCTTGATGGTGTTTCCGAGAGCCGCACTGACCATCTGGGATCAAGGTTTTTGTTGTTTGCCTGTGCCTTCAAGTTCATTAACTGAATAGTGCGCCTTTTTGACAGCTGGAAGTCGCCTGCTTTTTTCTTAATTGCAAAATCCTAAGTTCTGCCAATATGAGTGGACGAATCCAGTTGCCAAGGGAATATTGCAAAACAGAGCATCACAGTAGGCAATAAGTGGTGACTGGGCAGCTGCCTTGAAGTGGCCGTTGTGAAACCCATGGGGTTCAGAACCCCTGTCCTCTGGATTCCGGGACCAGAAGTACATGTAATTGGAGGTCGTAACCTCAAGGTGTATGGGTGAATGATCCTTGTGAAATTGGCAATGGGAAAAGAGGCTGCAGTAGAAGGGTCGAGCAGAGCGGGAAAGGAGTAATGCCCTTTCAAGAGTGCAATAGAATTTGATTTGGCCTTAGCTCCGCTGAAAGCTGTATACAAGGGTTCTGCCATAGGTGGGGTCATATGTGGAGCTCGCGTCTGGTCGTACTGTGCTGCATTTTCTTGCATACAACCTTCTTCTACCAGAGCACAATTAGTGATAGTACGCTGCCGCATAGTGCCATCTTGTAACGTTTCTTCAATCTGGATAGCCTGCAAACCCCCGGTAGATCCCTTTTGTTGGGCGCAACAACGGCGTCTCGCCTCCTCTTGTTCCTTCATTTGTTGTAACCAAAGGAATCGATTGTGGGCCTTCTCGGATTTCCATTTCTTCTTCTTTGCGTCCTTTGTCTGAGCCGTAAGAAATTCCTGTAGCCTGATGTCGGGCTTGCTTATAAGCCCGACGTTCAGTTGACAATGCCTCCTCAAATTCATCAGTTGTCTTTGCCCATGGGTTGCGTAGCCTTGTCTTCTTCATCAGACTCCGGACTTTGCGTGAGCTCACCCAGCAGCGTAGATGTCCTTTAAGGAGGAGCTTCCAGAGACGAACGTTTCCAGCTGAGGTAGTGCGACAATTGGCCTCAGCAAGCCGCCGTACCATGTACATCTGCTGATGGAGGCGGCTATATTTGCGTTCTAACGCAGGTGACATCTGGCGTTCATTGTTTTCAATGCGCTGATTTAGCCTGGTAAGGCAAAAAGGGATGTCGTACTCCCTGTGACCCAAGTGAACCAGTTGGAGATATTGACTAAACAACCGCTTATCCAAGAGAGCTAGTTTGCGAGGTTTGAAGGTAGACTCCTTGTGTTCAAGTCAATATCAATCCATAGAGCCCTATGATCTGCCTCAACAAACTTGCGGAATGCGTAGTAACCATTAGCAAGAACCGGAACACCCGAGTTGGTAAAGATCCCATCAATAGCAACATTGCTTTGATTTTGTTGGTGAGTAGCCGTTGGTGGGTGCCGTTTCAAAATCGCCTACTCCAGTCCGCAGTCCCGGAACCGCTAGTATATGGATTCCAGGGAGTAAACCAAAAGGTCTTCATTAGCATTGATCCCCAGCAGCACTTCACAACCTCCGTCCCTCCACTTTTGAATTTGTTTGCATAAGTTGTCGACAAATGCTTTGCGCGGATTAACCTTACATTTTTAGAGTTAAAATAGAGACGTTGTTGGGCCCAAACTGTTGATTCCCCAGTACCTTCTCTGTTTATATGCCAAGACCACCACTAAATTATGTGAAATTGGGCGTTGGACCACCTCATTTATATCAATCACAGAGCCCAAGTGGTCATCGTCCCCTCCCATCACCAGCTTCTTCCCTTGAAGACGGACATAAGCCCAACGTCCCAGCCCTGTCAAATTGCTACCACCTTCCTTAGCTTGGTGCAAGATCTGGCTGAGCACTGTTGCAATACATCCTCCCCACTGAAAAGCTGTAATCGCTGATGATTGTGAGTGCTGTTTATTATATGCAACCGCCAATTAGAAACCTTTCTGTTTTGCCTTCATCATCGCCTACGCCTTCTATTGCTCCATCCATGACCCTCTGCGATAGAGGGCCAATACGTTTTGGCCTCTGCCAACAACGGGATTCCCACTTGTTCATCTTTCAACCAGGAGTTGATCTGCCGCTGTTTCAAATGGTCACCTTCCTCCAGGACACCGTTGACACTCTGGAAGGTAACGCAAGTAGCTAGTTAAGAGCGACAGCGATGATTGTCACCAAGGCAGTCTCCTGCTGGAAGAGAACGTAAATATTTGGCAAGTGAAGTGTGGGAAACAACGCTGGATGGGCCACTAATTTGAGATCTTCTGCCTGCACGCCGTGACCTGGCACCAGGCGACCTGGGTCCTCTCATGACCCTGCCGAGGAGCAATGAACCCCCGACCGAGAAAGCAATTGCTTTGGTGGAGGCTTTTGATCATCCAAGGTGCAAGCCCTGTTAGCAGAAATGCCGGAATTGCCTTTCTTCTTTTTGGGTGGCATGGTAGGCTCCAGAGGATCTGGTAAGACCTTGCGGTTGCTGGAAGATTGGGAGAAAATTGCCAGTGGTTGGCAGTCTAGCGCTGCAGAGCTTCAAACTTAGCCTGTAAAGCAGCGGTAGCGGCTCTCTGGCTGTTGAGTTAAAGCCTCCTCTTTTGCTGCCAGAGCGTGGTTGCAAGCTTCAATTTTAATAAAGGCGTCCTCAAGTTGTTGTTCCCGCTCCTGCATCTCATCAAACATTCCTGTAACTGTCTTCTTGTCATCAATGTCCTTAGCATTGGCCATATCCATATCAATGGAGAGCTGATCCTGGTAAATGCGTAGGAAGTTCTCAAAAGATGGTCGCCCTACATAAGCATAGACCTTGCAAGCCCTTGCAATTCACAATTGTTGACATGCAGAGAAAGCTTTTAGATTCTCAGTTACCGTGGCGTTAAGTATTTTGTGTGTTGGGCGTTTGATGTTTGACAAAACTTTTACGCTCTCAGGGAAACGCTTAAACGTCTCACTTCAATCGTCTTCAGGATCAAAATAGAATAGTTCGGTCCCGGAGGGGCGAAAATGCACCTTTCTGCGCGTTCAACCAGTACCATTGCGTAGGCAATGCACCGTGAAGCTACGTGACTGACAAGAGTTCAATGTCACATGGTGCGCGTCCAGGAGGTCCCGGAACAAAATGTTGTTTGCGAGGCAATCCGGATGGAAGGCAACCCATTTTTGAAGGAAAGGCAAGTATCTTTCTATTGTTGCTGTGATCGTTCCTCCAGATGTATGAATGGTCGTCGGTTGTCATGCTTGTCATATTCCTCGTAGGTAGAGAGCATTGCAGAAAATTGTAACTGTGGTTGCCGTATCCAGTAGGATCCACACCAAGTCGATCAACCACGCATATATTGTTGTTATTACTATGTTTCTTGTGCTTCCGAACATATTCTCCAAGCATCGAGTATGCATCCGCAAGTGTTTCAGGATAGCAAACTAGTTTTGACGACGCGTCATTCCGCAAATCCGTCACACAATCTCTGAACCGCTTCCTGTCGGCATTGGCCAAGACCAGGCACACAAGCAATGCTTGGTTGGCTGATGCAGTTGTGCCGTTTGCAGTCGTCCAGGTGTCCTCTTTTGTTGTCAGATCACCTCCAAGACTGTTAAAGGTAGGGTACCGTGCCTTGAAATCGTCGCAGTAGTCGTCCAGTGTGCCGTTGAGCTGCTTGTATTGCACTAGGTCTAGGAGTGCCTCCGCTCTCGCTTGGGGCTGGAAAGCCAATAGGTTGCCTTCTACACATAGAACATTCGCATTTTCAAGTAGGGCAATGCAATTGTGGGTGCTGTCAGCCTTGTCGTAGAAAGGCAACTGCTGTAGATGGGCTTGTAGCTTAGGAGAACACTGGGCCGGCCGCTTTTTCAGACTCATAGAGTAGCAAAGCCTTCACATCATTCTTGTTGGTTGCAGGCTAGATGGGGACTGGGGGTTCCCATGATGGGTCCATCTCCTTCAAGTAGGTCTTGGCCCATAGCTTGGCAGCACCCACAGAAACCTCTCGGCCAATATAGTCCTTCAATGCCATGTAAAATCGTTCATATTGGGCGGCAGATCCTCGATTCCTTTTGTGTGGGAACTGGAGCACCGCACCACCCATCTCTTCAATATCTCCCTTGAAAATCTCCTTTCTCTTCTTATTGTCATTTCTGCCCGCATTGTTTGCAGCTCCATGTCTGGGCTGATCATTGCCTTTGCTCGTGCCAGCTGTGGAAGTCTGAGCGGCAGTCATATTCTGACGGGTTTCTCTGATGAGGAGGGAAATAAATATCAAAACAAAATAAAAGTGTCACTAAAACAGATGGCTCTGGCGCGCTGTTCCTTTGCTATGTCCGCCGCAATGTAATGCTCTTAGTAGGCTTGCACCCTGGATCTAGCCAGGTCCCTATGGATGGTGAGTCCGCGAGCAGTGCTGTTTACGATTGACTGTGCCTGTGGGCAGAGTAGGTAACCAACCATTGGTTTGTCAACAAAAACCTGTTTTCAATCCAGGTAATATTGGAGGCCAATAATATGTCAGCAGACAAAAAGGTCATCTACCAATCCTACCGCCCAACCTACAAATTGACCTTTCAGTTGTATGCAAAGGGGATGGTAGCACGTTTGGGTGACCACACTTGCCCTTCAGTAGCCCTCTTGGATCGCCATGTTCGTTTCCTGGATTCTGCCCTTGCAAAAACGTTCTTGGATGCCAAGAACGACTTCCAACGCCGCAAGCTGTCTCTTGCAGGTCTTGCTAATCTTACCCTTTGGCTCGGATGGCTCCAATCCTCAGAGTGTTTTGGTCTCAACTGGGAGGACTGCTCCCTTGTGGAGCCTGCTGATCATGCAGGTGAGGATCTTCCACCCAACTGCAGTATGGTCATGTTTTGACTCAATCCTGTCACCAAGTCAGACCGCGCCCGGATGGCTGATGTCATTATCGCTTATACCACGCAATCGGGATTCTTGATTGAAAAATGATTTTGTCGGGCACGAAGATACCGGGCCCGACCTACAGGGCCCGTTTTCCACTTCGACCTCCCACTTCTTTTGGTTCACCTACTTGTACCCAAGTCTCCACAAACAACGCAACAATGGAGACCCTCTTCTCCGGCCATATGACGGCACTCCTGGCAACTCCATTGAAAGCCGCTTTTGGTCCCTTCACTGCTACCGCCGCGGGGGCCGCACCCACGTCTCACGCAGCAACATATGCGGCGGCGCCCGTCTCACGATTGCCTCCAAAACCATTGTCTATGAACACGGCTGCTGGTGTCTACGCCGCGCCAACGAAGATGTCGCCGCCACCTACCACAAATGGAAGCCCTGTATCCGGGTCAAACTAACTCTTTACTGCCATTAATATGGCAGCGCTTTGGGGGAAGAAAACCTGGTTGGTTGGAGTCGTAAGTGATGTTTGGCCAAGTGGGAAAGAAATGGACGCAGGATCGTACCCTTTGGGGTACGATCCTGTGGAGACTTCAGCCTACATACTCCTCAAGATTAACCTCATCAAGTGTAGCGCTGGTGCCTCACCCGGATCTGAAACCAGAAGCCTGCATGGGCTAGGACAATATCTAGCCACCAATTATGATACAAATAAACAACTCCCAGCCGTGTCTCATGCATGCGCTGGCATTTCTTGCAACTAAACTCCATGTGGAATCAATCAATCAATCAATCAGTCAATCAATTATTTAAGACCTCCACGGAATGAATGAATGAATAGACAAGGTTGAGCTAGTCGGAAATAAAACGACCAAATTTGGGTTGTATTAAGGCTCCACACAATGTGACAAAAAACATTAATTAAGTAAATAGCTTAAATTCTGACACCCAAACACCAAACCCCACTGTACATCTCAGTTTTCACGTGCACACCCGCAAAGTAGTAAGCAAAGCTGCCCGGGGAAAAGAAGACAGGCCACTTTGCAGACTAATATTGAGAAGAGCAATATGTATTAATATTTAGTTTTCAAATCAAACCTCACAGTCAACCTTTAATGTTCCAAATATAACAACATTGTCTTTCTCATTCAGTTTACTATGATTGAGAAGAGCAATATGTATTAATAATTAGTTTTCAAATCAAACCTTGTAGTTAACAAATATGCTATTATACATATTTTAATAATTCCAAATAAAAAGATGCTCCTGTCAAAGGTCCATCCCATCTAAGTCCTTGTGTAGATATTTATCATTTGCAAAATCTATTGGAGAGTGTTTTCAGGATTTTGACAGGTGCCCGCTCATCCCCAAAGACTTGATGCCTATTTGGTCAAATTTGTTTCAGCAACAACACACTTATAGGTAGTCCCTTGCTTTCTATTGTAGATTCTCTTCAAAGTCTATCAACATCATCTATACTAATTTGTCAATTCTGGAAAAAATGGGTATCTCATAGCCCTTTCATAGCTCCTCCAAATCTGGAATGCCAAATGATTGCCCATTGCATTCAAGAACCAAGACAGATCTTCGTTTACCGTCACACAACTCATCAATCCAGTTCATGAATTATGTACCAACCAAATCCAAAGTATAGTTCATTCTTGGACGTTTCATCACTAATCCATGTAAATTTTTAATGCATCCAACACCCTGAAGTGGATTCACAATTGTCATGGATAAAGTAATGGAAACATTTTCTCAGCAATGTTGTAGTGTTTGAGCTGAAAGCTCAACAATCTCATCTGATAACGTGGAATAGCGAGTGGTTCTCAGCTTATAGGCAAAAAAGAAGGGATTCGAAGCTCTCACAGTTTGATTGTTGCCTCATTCTGGCCGTCAAATGCTGGCTTGAACTGTTGCTTTGAAGTTTGGCAGCAAGTTTTGGGTTCGCATGGGCATTTTGGAAATTTCTTGTGAATCCAATCTTCACACAACCACTCCATTTGGACAACTTATTTAGTTCCCTCTTGGGTTGTATTGGTGCAAATTTGGAGCTTGCAGAGGTCGTTGTTGACGACCAATGGCCATCACTCGGATGTGCCGGATTTTTGGCAAGGCATGATTTTTTTGTCATTTTGGTCAAAAAAATTGTCACAGCTTCGGCCAGAGACATCATGATTGCTACTTCTGGTCTCGGAATCCGGAACACAAGGGCTCTGAACCTCATGGCCTGCATAATGGCCACTTTAAAGCTGGGATTCTCTCCCCTATGATCGCCCAGTGTGACGTCTTGTTTTGGCATATCCCTCTAACTACTGGGTTCGTTCCTGACAACTGGCGACATTTAATGAATTTTGCCATTGAAAAGAAGCCTGGGGAGTTTTGACTGATGAAAATGCGAACAATTCAGTTGATGAGCTCTGAATCCCAGGCCAATTATAAGCAACTTGGTTGTCTGGCCATGACTTATGGCAAAGACCATCACCTGATTGCTGATGGTCAATGCGGGTCCCGAAAGCACCATCAAGCGATTGATCTCGCCCTGTCAAAGCGGCTGGTGTGGGACCTACTGATTCTCCAGCGTCGATCGGCAGGGTGGATTTTGAATGATGTCAACTCTCACTTGGTCACAGCTCAGTTCTTTTGTTTTGTGAGGCTGGGGCGCCGGTTGATCATTCCAGCGAGGACATCTGCCAATCTGTCCAGGCGGCTGTGTCCATGTGGGCTGGAGGAATTAGTGCTACCGGTGGAGGGATCAACCCGGACAAGTCCTTTTGGTGGTTGATCGACTTTGCTTAGGATGGCAGGAAGGGACAATGGACACGCCTTCCTTACTTCTAGCTCTCTTCTAGTAGTATAGACGACTGTCACCAGTAAAGCATAGACGCCTTTGGCCTCTTGCTCGCTTGTCGGCCAAAAAACGACGATGAATTTATGTGGTCAACGGCTTTTACACCATGCTGGTGGAGCAGTTTATACAAGATCCCCCGGGGAAAAAAGAAGGGGAAGAGGAAGAGAAAAAGGAAAAGAAAGAAAAAATTCCAAATTTCTTGCCTAGCGCGAGGTTTTGCAAATTTTGCAAAACTTGGCGCCGCAGGCACCATAGAAACTGCCTCTCTTTTCCCCAACTTTCAGAACCCTTGATAGATTGTACCATGTTCTGACCCCCTTTTCTGAAGAATCGTCTGCTATTTGTCCGACCATACCACGTTGACAAGAATTCTTCGGTCACATCCATTTTTTGCTTTCCACCACAATAGGGAGCCTTGGGGCCAACAAAGGCATCACCCACTACAAGAAAATGGTTACAAAGCTGAGATTAGCTTCATCATAACTGTATCTATCTTGCTCAAATGCAGTGGGTTGATAGGAACGGATTAGCCTCTTTGACCTTTGGAATGACAACTCAAGACACACTAACCGCGTCTGATGAAATTGTTCCTCAACAATACGCCAAGTCCTCCTCTTATTTACTATGAATACAGGATACTAAGGTTTTGTGAAATATTTTGACCACATGAAACATACAGTAATCTGAAAAGGTGAATTCGTTGGATGGTGTCGTTGAGTGGACAAAGACATGTATACCATGCCAACAAGGAGACACTTTCCTTATTCTTTCACACAGCGATCGGAGGGTGGTATCAACGGAGGCGCTATTCCAATTTCATGATCTCTCCCACCATTATTGACCATTTTGTGTCCATAAATGTGAGCTGATTTGTTGGGTGATGTTTTGGAATCGGACAAAGACAAGCATTCCATGCCAACAAGGAGAACACTTCCTAATTCTTTCCCACAGCGATCCAAGGATCGTATCAATGGAGGCGCTAGACCGATTTCATGATCTCTCCCATCATTATTGACCATTTTATGCCCATAAACGTAAGTTGAATCAATGCATGTTTTGGAATTGTACCCAAATGTGTGCTCACAATGCCAAGATGGTTCATGTTTCATATGTAACATGTACCAGAAAGCACCACAGTAATCAGACGGAGACACTCGATCAAGTTCATGATCTCTCCTATCAGTATTGACCATTTTATGCCTTTGGATGTGAGACAAAAAGCATGTAAGTTTTCTCCAAAAGCCATTTGGTAGTGGTGTGGACAGAATTTTGTCACACTCCTTTATTTCAATACATATTTGTCGTCTATGAGTATATCTAACAAGTATGAGCGCTTTGAAATGGGGTTTTCCTGGGTGCAAGCAATTGAATAGCACTCACATGGATTGGGTAAGGAATTCAGCTTCATCCGACAACATGCTAAGAGTGCTCTCCAGCCGCCGTGACTTTACCCAGACACGGTGGCACGGAGCTCAATGATGGTAAAATATATATGAGTATCGGCTTTGGTCGTAGGCTGGGAGAAGTACAAATGCAATGAGATGCTTGTTCCGGTTTTCTGATTTCCTGTTTCCAACATTGCAAGTGACTTCGTCAAATGTCCTTGCATTGACCTAGTACAGACCAAGAATGGTAGCTAGAGAGATACAAAGCTGTATTATAGATACATAATATACAATATCGCCGGCTGATAAACAAAAATTGCCTTCAAGGAAGTTACTATGGTACTAAACCTGGCCTTTGCCTCCTCTTGATCTTTTTTTTGGTTGATTTTTGGTATGTGATAAGACTAAATCAGTTCTTCATTTTGTGACTAAATCAGTTCTGAATTTTGTGATGAGTTTTGAGTATAATTAGCCAATGACTAATTCAAGGCAGGATTCGGTTCCTTTCATTCTACAGCAGAACCATAGACAAGCCTCTGAAAAAGATCATGCCCTCAAGTATAGCGTCACCACGCTAATCATCGCCCTTTCAGGTGCCAGTCCCAATCAAACAAAAGCGTCAATGCCTGTGCTAGAAAACTGTTAGCGGCATTCCGGTCTTGTCAATGTTTACCAGCAGAACCGTCTGAGAATGAGCTTGCAGGTGATAAGCTCCAGAACTACATCACTCTTTGTGGCCATTTCCTCTCTTCCTGCCCGATCCCTCAACGATCAAAGTACAATGCTCTGATGGAGACTGCTTCTCCTACTTGAAAACCTCTACCTTGAGGAATTACATCGGGCAATACTTCAAAGAGAAAAACAAAAAGAGAAAAAACAAAGAGAAAGCTATAGGATCGCAATGAAGGGGCTCTACAACACAACACTGGCCTTGTGCATAGCATCAGAAGACAATATACTCTATGATCCTGGCGATGGCCAGGACTTAGAACAATCTGAAACGAGGTAACAATCAATGAGTGTTGATGTGATAATTGCTGCGCATGAATTCATTGAAATGATGCTCAAACACCCGCACACAAAACCCCATTGTACATCTCAGTTTTCATGTGCACACCCGCAAAGTAGTAAACCAAGGTGCCCAGGGAAAAGAGGATGGGCCACTTCGCAGAAAAAGACCCGGATCCGCAAATTCCCAACCCAAAATGTGGCAGGAACAACC